CATCACGTAAGGGCATCACGACGTCTTTGAATTCTGGAGCTCCCTGCACAAAGCTTATCCCTCACAGCTGCTCCCTGGGGGCTGATGAGCAAGCCATGGGCCTTTCTCCCTCTGGTCATTTCCATGTGGTCTCTCCCAGCTCCACAGTACAAACACTGCTCATAATTGCTTTAAGGCAGGGCTATTCAACTGTGGAAGCCCCAGGGGCCACAATGATACTCTCAGCACATGCCGAGGGCTGCAACTTAAGTGTGGTTGCATAACATGCAAATATATATGCAAATATATGCAGATAGCTTCTTGCACACTGATGGGCATGAATACAAAGATTAAGGCAAGACTACACAACACACAGTTTCAGTCAGTTCTGCTGATATTAATAAAATGCAATATTCACCCAATTTCCACCCATCTGACAGCACTTTTAATGAGCAATAACAATCCAGGAATTGAACTACTGAAACGCATCTCAACAGAAGACCATTACATTGACTTGCCGTTGTGGAGCATGTTCCTAGTGGAGGCCATGTTCAAAGGATCCCACCCGCAGGCTGCGTGTTGAGCCCTGCGTAAACCCAAACCGTGTCATGAGCCGCAACCAAACAGCGTGGCCCGTGGGCCACGTGTTGAGCAGCCCTGTTTATGGTGTTCCCCATCATAAAGCAATGAGCTGAATCTTTCATTGAGCCCTCTGATCCTATGCTGCAGAGAGAGTCTTGTGTGGCATCTAGTGGAACAGATGTTGGTAGGAAGTCACCCCAAGCAAATGGGGAATTTGTAGAGTGACTGGAACCCAGAGAGGACAATTGACCGAAGTGTTACATGCAGAATGGAAGATGAGTCGCTCAACGGGGCAAGGAGTCATGGCTCACTCCTCACACAGGAGCTTAGAACTCAGCAACCAAGTGGGCAATGCTCACGGCCCAGTTCTTGGAATGCTCCCGGAGCAGTGCAATGCCAGTTCACTGACTCCTGTCACCCACATCTGATCTCATACCTTCTTGGCTAGTTCCTGCAGTGCTGCTAAATCATTTGCCTTTGATGCTTTCAGAGCGTTCAGTTCCTGCTGTTTAGCTTCCGTGTCCTTCTCGTACTTCTCCATCCAGTATTCTAACTTCTCTTCCAACTTCTGTGGGAAACATAACGGCGACACTTAGGCAATGCATTGGGAAGGACCAGTAATGTGCCTGAAAACTTTCTATCCTCTGATCAGTCTGCCATCATTCTATAGGAGTAACAGTGAGGTTACACAGCACAGTAATCCCTTATCACACACCAACCCTTCAAAGAGCCAAAATCCTGGAGCTAGTGTCAAGCCACTAGTAGTCTGCAGAACCCTTCCTGGTGGCCAGCAGGAGGAAAGTTTTGGAGAGCCAAGCCATGCAGGACGAAGGGGACGTGGGACCATCTCCCTCAGAGTGGTCTGAAGAAAGGAAAAGTTGGAAAACCACTAGATGTTGGCTTAATACATGGTAAGCCCCAGTACAATCCATGACAGACATCTCCCTTAGAAAAAGATACATATGGCTCATAGCTTCATCATTGATGATTAGGCCCAACAGATTCTTAGAATTACAAAGATAAACCTCCACATACAGCCTGCAAGCCACTTCCTGGATTTATCCCCAGACGTGGCCAGAATAGGATCCCATAGGTGTCCACACTTTTTCAGGATATGGACCCCATTTTAGTGTGTAGATTGCTTTATTCGCGGCTGGCCTCTCATTCACAATAGTACAGCCAGCTTCCTCCCATTGACAGTCACATAACATCCTTGTGGAACAACAGCAATCACTCACATGGCAAAATAGCCGAGGAAAGTGCTGAATGGTTTTTAAACTTGCTGTAATTTAGCTGCCTGGAAATGAGTAATCAGCGCCGTCTGGCCAGCCAGTTCCCTGTGGGCCACAGACTATAGTATGAAACTCTTGGTAGAGGGAACTCAAGCTTCTGCCTTCTGTTGGAGCCAAACAGATCGTCGCCTGTACTGGAATTCCCCTCACTCCTGAATCTTGGTGGAGTCCAATGGCTGTGGGATGTTGGGAAAAACTACTGCAAAATAGTCCCAAAAATGCCTTTTCTGACCAGAGCCACTTGGCTCCCCATACCCACTTGTGATGAAGATGTCAGTTCTCTGTACCAGAGACCAGTGCTTCCCAACCTTTTTTATACCACGGACCAGCAAACCCATTCACAAACTTTTGGCAGACTGGTAACATTTTATTTGCCTAGTTGCATATTTATTATGCATATAATGGATGTGTAAATATGCAAATAAATGTTGCCAGTCCACCAAGGGGCCATTTCAAACAGCTGGCTTCAGCTCCGGCAACTGCCCACTACATAGCAGCTGCCAGAGCTGAAGCCAGCTGCTGTGTGCAGCTGAGGACCAGGGTGTACCCCAGCCCCTAAAACCTACTGCTAACAGCTGGCTTCAGCTCCGGCAGTGGCCGCGGCCCAGCAGCTAGCGGTTCGTGGACTGGCAGTTGGGAACCACTGCCAGAGACATTATAGCATAATATGGAACATTTTCAGCTTATTCTCAGGTGGTGTCAAACAAAACCTGAATGATCATGTATTGGGCTTGCCAATCGTGAGTTATAGTTCCCTTAACAGTCTCTTTTTCAACACTTTAAAATGTTGCCATTAGAGGAAGTGAACTAAACATGGTGCCCACAGTCTGGCCACAGAGAGGGGTGATAGGCCTAGGTTCCCCTTGTTTACTGTCTGCGGGGATGCATGCGCCCTGTTTCCTCCTGACAGCGATGTGAGATGTTCTGTGTTAACTGGTGGATTTTACCTTTTTTTGGATTAGACCAGGGCTACTCAACACATGGCTCGCGGGCCACATGTGGCCTATGGCCCATTTGTTTGCGGCCCACGGTGGGAGCCAAAACAAAAAAGTAGTCAATATGATGTTCTGTGGCATGCGTTTTAGTAGATAAATTCCTGGACTGTCATTGCTCATTAAAAGTGCTGTCATAGGGGTGGAAATCAGGTGAATATTGCATTTTATTAATATCAGCAGAACTGACTTAAATGGGGCCTGCGTGTTGTGTAGTCTTGCCTTAATCTTTGTATTCATGCCCGTCAGTGTGAAAGAAGCTATTTGCAGATATATTTGCATGTATATGAAACCACACTTAAGTTGCAGCCCTTGGCATGTGCTGTGAGTATCATTGTGGCTCCTGGGGCTTCCAAAGTTGAGTAGCCCTGGATTAGACATTTGAGAGAAGCAGAACAATATTAAGTAAGCTTTAAAGGGTAAGGAGTATCTACTGACCATAAGAAAAGTCACCTTTCTGAAAGGCCATGGTTCAGTGTGCGAAAGCTTTGTTTGGATAGTTGCATCAGGCATGACACAGGGACGTGCTGTGATATTTAGGCCTACAGTGTATCCTAACTGTGGGAAAGTGGACAGAAATGTATAAAGTGAGACAGACTGAATTAGTTTAACCAAAAGGGCCTCCTGCTACAATTCAAGAACTGTATTAAGATCTTGCATGGTAAACAAGAAGATTGTGTGACTAGGAATCAACTGGTCAAAGCTGGTGTCAGACATTAGGCTGAATGTTGAACAAAGCGATGAAGACATGGTCTGTTCCGCTCAGCGCCACCTTTTGGGGTCCTTGTGAAGAGACGTTGGGAGGAAAGCCAGCTAGTGTAATCCTGGCAGACTGAAAGGGGTATTCTAGAAATGGTAGGCTGGAAGGGACCTTGAGAAGTCTTCAAGTCCAGCCCCCTGCACTGTGGCAGGACCAAGAAAACCTACACATCCATGGCAGGTGTCTGTCCAGCTTGTTTTTAAAAGCTTCTAGTGATGGGGACTCTATGACCTCCCTTGGAAGCCTATTCCAGAGCTTAACAAACCTGAGAGTTAGAAAGCTTTTTCTAGCATCTAACCTAAATCTCTCTCCCTGCTGCAGATTAAGCCCATTACTTCTGTCCTACTTTCACTGGACACCGAGAACAATTGATATCTCTCCTCTTTATAATGGCCCTTAATACATTGGAAGACTTACAAGGTCCCCCCTCAGTCTTCTTTCCTCAAGTCTAAACATATGCCCAGTTTTCTTAACCTTTCGTCGTAAGTCAAGCTTGCTAAACCTTTTAGCATTTTTGTGGCTCTCCTCTGGACTCTTTCCAATTTTTCCACATCTTTTCTAAAGTGTGGTGCCCAGAATTGGCCACTGTCCTCTAGCAGGGACCTCACCAGTGCTGAGTACAGTGGGACAACTACCTCCCCTGTCTTACAAATATCACTCTTGTTAATCCCCCCCAGAACCATACTGGCCTTTCTGAAGTTGCATCACACTGATGACTCATCCAGTTTTTGGTCCACTTTAACCCTTTTCAACTGTACTATCACCTTGCCAATTATTCCTCATTTTGTAGTTGTGCATTTTATTTTATTTTCCTTCTGAAGGGAAGTACACTGCACTTAACTATAGTAAACTTCAGCTTGTTGCACTCAGACTAATTCTTCAGTTTTAGAAGGTCATTTTGAATTGTAAACCTGCCCTCCAAAGTGCGTGCAGCCCGTCCCAAATTGGTGTCATTACGAACTTTAGAAGCATACTTTCCATCCCATTATCCAAGTCATTAATGAAAAGACTGACTCCTGCAGGACTCCACTAGATACACCCTCTCAATTTGATGACAAACCGATAACTACTCTGAGTATGGAAAAACTTAAAAAACAACGAATAGCCTAGCAGCAGTCTGAAAAACTGCAGTTTAGACATACCCTGGCTGACAAAGACAAGAGAAGGGGAAGGAGTGAGCTTCAACTCTGGACTTCCTTTGTCCTAATCCTGAGAAATGGCCTGACCAGACCAGGCCCGAGACAGGAATCCCGATAACACAGTCACGTCCGCTGGCTCTGGGTAGATCCCAGACCACCACCAAGGATGTGAGACTCTCTCTCCTGCTCACATCCACATGCACACACCATGTGTGGGTGGTTGTTGTTGTTTCCTTTCTCAGCCTATTTCTTTCCTCTACTTTTCCTTTTGCCTAATAAGAGTCACTTAGCTGACCATGACTGCATATTTTGCAACACTGCTGTATGCCTGTGACCAGAAAGGCAGCTAAAAGCAATGCTTTCAACAGCCTGATGCTGGTACAAGTTTGCCAGCTTTCAGAATGGCTGATACAGCCACATACTGGGCCTTGTTTTTCCAGCAGTGAGGTGGCAAGTGAAAGTTAGCCTCAGAGACACACTGCTTCGTCTCTTCTCCCTTTTGCCCGTATTTCTTGTTTTGCTCCCCGGAAGTGGGATTAGACTTTAACAGCTGCAAGAATAGCTCTAGTCCATCTCAACTAACATCTTCTCTCTTCCCCTAAAAGGACAATTTATTGTCATCTCCACCCCCATGTAAGAGACAGACTGGGGTTTTTTCTTCTGAAGACTCTCTACAGTTTAGGGAAAGGGAACAAAGGATATTGTTAGAATTAAACCTTTTCAATTGCTCTCTCCCTTTTTTGTATCTCTAATCAAAGGTTATAAATGATTTTTAATGGTGTGTTTGCCATTGTACTATGCAGGCTGAAGTCTGTATAGCAAACCCTGAACCTTGTCAAATGCTGTTTAATGTTGAACAGCTTCAGGGTCATGTTAAAATCTTTGACTCTTTAATACAATAGACATTTATGGATCGTGGGCAACTTGATTCATGTAACAGACATTATGGATTCTGTGGAACCTGAATCTGTCAAAAGGGTTGTGAATCGACATTTATCTTACTCAGCTGGATTGCCTCCTGAGCAAACAGGGTAGGATAAAGCAAAAACAGACTAATGGTTTCTGTTGTGTCTTCCTTTCTTCCCCCCCCCCCCCCCCCTCCCCTTTTTTTTTCGTCAACCCCCGGGCTTTTCCCCCCCCCCCCCCATGTCCTAGTTGTTATGTGCAACCCCAGGGCTTGTGAAGCTTTAGTTACCAGGCATGTGTTAATGCCAGCTCAAGACAGTGCTGGAAGTCTGACCTATTTGCAATTATACTACTTTAAATTAAAGCCCAATCACCTGAACATCTAGTGGTGGGAAGGGGAGCAGGGGCGGGGGGAGAATCCACAACATGTGGCTGACCAAATCTCTTCTATCTGAATCTTGATTTGGGGGAAAATATACCTAAAAATAATTCAAAAATCAGGTAACCAATCTTATGGTTTTGGAGACAAATGGTAATTCCAACAATAGTCTTGAAGCTGGTGAAGGGGTAGCTGTACATAACTATGTTTTTCCTTAGGACACTGATTGCTACGATGGGAATAAGTTGTTGTGATGTTTGTAAGTTGCTGTCTGAAGAGCTAATTAAGAATATTTGAGTCACCCACCGTCTGTTGTTGCCTGAGGAAATTTTCAATCTCCACGTGGACTCGAGTCTCCTCGTCGGTTTTGACCCTCAGCTTCTGTGATCAATAAAGACAGACTGTGTCAGAGACTGTCTCGACAAGCGCGTTCACACACGTTGCGACAAGGCGTGCTGCTGAGGGACTGCTCAGCATGGTGAGTGTGAACGTGACGGGCTCGTGGCCTGCAGTCTCAGTAAGAAGCCAACCGTTCAGTCCGAACTACCGTTACTCCTCATTTCACTAGGAAGCCTAGTCCGAACTACCTAGGCACTAGCGGACATTTAAAAATGGCGGCGCCCGGCTTTATGCAAATGAAGCCCAGGAAATTCAAGTCCTGGGCTTTATTTGCAACTCCAGTTGCCTACATTACCACCCTAGTTCGAACTAGGGTGGTAGTGTAGACATACCCTTAGAGAATACCCCGGGAACCCAGAACTAAGGCCACATCTACACTAGCCCTTTTGTGGGTGAACTTTTGTTGGCCAGGATTATAAAAAAACACGTCCCTGACCGGTAAGTTTCACTGACAGGAGCCCTGGTGTGAACAGCGCTATGTCAATAGGGGATGCGCTCCTGCTGACTCTCTGCTTATTAGGGTGGTTTAATTATACCAGGGGAGAGGTCTCTCTCTCTGCCACAGTTGTACAACTGTGCTGCTGTAAGGTCTGTAGCGTACACATAGCCTGAGTCAGAGGGTGCATCTACACAGGACCCTAAACTTGAAATAAGATATGCAATTTGCATAGCACAAATTGTGTATCTTATTTCAAATTTATGTCGAAATAGCTTATTTTGAAATTTGGCATGTCTACACACTGCCAAATTTCGAAATAACGCACTATTTCAAGCCATCCCTCATGCAACAAGGTTTACCAGGATGGTGAAATAGTGTGCCTGTTATTTCCAAAAAATATTTTGAAATAACAAGTGGCTTGTGTAGATGCAGTTATCTCTGATATCCCAAAATAGCCGTGTAGTATAGACATACCCAGAGTCTCTTCCCCATGTATGCTAAGGGCAGATCTACGCTTACCCGGAGAGCAAAGCTCTGCAGGTTGATCTTCTGGAGTTCAGTTTAGCGGGTCTAGTAAGGACTGAGGGCAGGGTGACTGAGGGGTAAAAGCATATATGGATATTGCACTTGACTTACGATGGGTTATACCAGTGGTCCCCAACCTTTTGGGGCTGCCAGGGGCAGGGCTGCTCACACGCCGGGCACCCACGGGCGGGGCCACACATGCACCTGAGGGTGGGGCCACACATACGCCGCATTCCCGGGGCTGGCGCCGCAACTCTGCTGCACACCCAGGGGTGGGGCTGCCCATACGCTGCGCGCTCAGGGCCAGGACAGCCCATGTCCCGTGCGCCCGGAGGCAGGGCCGCCCATGCACTGCGTGCCCGAAGCCGGCGCTTGTGCCATGTGCCCAGGAGCTGGCAGTGCCCATGTGCTGCGCGCCCGGTGGCAGGGCCGCCCATGCACCGCGCGCCCAGGGGCGGGGTGGCCCCGATCACTCAGCGGGCACACAGAAATGGCTCAGCGGGCACCGCGTTGGGGACCACTGGGTTATACCATTAGCTCTCCCACCTGAACCGAAGGGACAGAGGTTAAAGATTCATCCTTTCTCCTGAGTGTACCTTGGGCACTGAAGATAAACAGGTGTTAACGAAAACCCATTGATCTAAAAACTTCCCCTCTCAAATGCTCAGCTTTCATTCTTGCTTAAGAACATCAGAACGGCCATACTGGGTCAGACCAAAGGTCCATCTAGCTCAGTATCCTGTCTGAGTGGCCAATACCCATGTGAAACAGAAACTAGGGATACCATTCCTACCCATCCTGGCTGATAGCCATTGATGGACCTAACCTCCATGAATCTATCTAGCTCTTCTTTGAACCCTGTTCTAGCCTTCACCACATCCTCTGGCAAGGAGTTCCACAGGTTGACTGTGTGCTGAGTGAGGAAAAACTTGCTTTTGTTTGTTTTAAACCTGCTGCCTATTAAAGTTGTTGTGCTACCATGTCACAAGTTCTTAAGGCACCTTAACAGCTTCCAGCCTAGCCTAGCCAAGACCAGAACATCTCAGGTAAAAAAATGAATGGAAAAGAAAATGTGTTCACCTTTAAAAACCATCCAGACTGCCTTTATCCAGCAGGGGGAAGCTGAAGCAGGAGCTCATTTTTCCCAAATGCAAGCCACCTCTACTGGAGGAATATGTATGGGTGTGCCTGACACTGGGTAGATGTGTATATAAACCCTGCCTCGTGGCTCATCCAGAACTCATTCAATCCTGGAAGTAATTCTACTGCTGGTGATCCCTGCAAGCAGCCTGCAAGCTTGCGATGGGCTCCTAGAGTGGGGGATCCTTGCAACCAGACACTTTCTCCTGTGGCAGCCACCTCCCACTGCTAATGGTTAAAGCCATCCCATCAGCCTCGTTATTTATTGGGAGCGTGGTAAAATGATGAGCAGTCTCTGGCCTGGCCCCTCCCTACTTCGCTGAATAGAAATGGCTGGTTGTTTGAGGTCACCGACAGAGGACACTTGCAGCTGACCAGCGCTGTCCGGAATCACAGGGACCGCTACTGCGTAGGTTTGTGGAACAGGAGGAAAACATGATCTAACAGTGCAGTACTAAACCCAGAGCATTGCCAAAGCCATCAGAGTGTGAGCCTGGGTGCAGCCCCTCTGCGCTGCCCACCGAGTCAAGGTGGCGGGTGAGCTCAAGGAGTCTGTACCACTGATCTGTAAAACAAAACCCTCTGTTACAGCCGGAGTTACGCCTTGGCTGTTCGGTGAGGCCGCAGGACAGTGCTTACCTCAATTTCTACAAACAGCTCACTTTCTGCACTGCTGCACTTTTTCTGGGTCTGGTAGACCTGGAGCTCTGTGTCTTTCTTCACATAGCGGCTCTCCATGTCTGTCTTGGCCTTCATCTCTTGAAGCTGGTCTTTGAGGTACGCAATCATCTCATTCCGGTTCTGAGGAATAGGCAGGGGCATATTGGGGAGGGGGGGACATAAAAGCAAACTTCAGAATGCAAGTCACTTCCCCATTTCTTGTGCCTGCCACTTGGACCAACCTCACCTGTGTCCCACCTCATGTTTAAAAATCATAGGGCTGAAGGCCTCGCTCTCCATTGGAGTTTTGTCCAGTTCAACCTGAGCTTCAGAGAGAAACCTAATTTTTAACCAACAGCACAGAACCACTTCTTCCCTATTTCTTTGCTTCATTATCTAGCTAGAGGTTGTAATGACAGACACGGTACCAGGAGAGCTGGTCTTTAAGGCTCTGATTCAGGAAGGTACATGCATAACTTCCAGGACTTCTGTTGATTTCAATGGCTTGAAGTTAAGCATTTGCTTAAAGTGGTTTCCTGACCTGGGTCTAGATCTGGCTCTGTGACAGGCCAACTGTGTGAGCTTGGACAGGTCACAACCTCTGTGCCTCAGTTTCCACATGTATACAAAGGGCATGTCAGTTGTGAAGGTGCTAAGGCTTAATTCTTTAGTTTGCAAAGTATGTTGGGCTCTTTGGATGGAAGTTCTGGTATAATCAGACAAACTGCTTACAGTTGCAAAGCACATTTAAGAACAGGTGAAAATTGAGTCTTGCTCTGTTCATATGTGTCACTACTTCTTCGAAAATGTATCAGGGTGAACTGAGTAAAATATGTTGCAAAGGAATGCTGAGGTTATCACCCCTTCCCCACTCACTATTCTACAATGGAGAGCTGAGACTTCCAGATGCAAGTCAGGTCTGAAAATGCCCCTCTGAGAAAAGGAACCCTTGAGTTGAAAGGTATTGAACTGATATTTGTGGCTGTGTGTGTTTTCAACTTGTTTAAATTCACTGGAAAATTTTTACTTGGTTTCTTGGGATAACAGATGAAGATTACAATGCAGGATTGTAGCTACAGGAGAATTCTCTTTCATGTGGAAGACACAAGGCACTGAGCTAAGAATCAAAAGGTCATAAACAGTCTAGTTTGCAGTTAACACTGAGCCGAATGCATTTGGTTTTACTTCTTGTACCACGTGCCTTCGATTACTCCCTCAGATTCTTCCTGTTTGCTTGCTGCTGTCATGTTACAATGGTTTCCACATTCATCAGATGAAGCTTCTGGCTGAAGCTGAAACCCCAAAGTGCGGATGTTGTTTAAGTGATTTGAAGGCCGCAGAGGCTCACAGCTTGTCTGAAGCACCATCACATTCTTTAATTGCATAAACATAGGAAAAGCCTGCTCCACAGCACTGCGTTTAAAGGCCGGTGCCGCATGAGTCATTTGAAAAGAGTTCCTTTTCGGGAGAGTTTGGAACACTCAAAGGGCAAGTCTTTCGCGCATGCGTGTGTATGTGCGCGTGCGCTCAGCGACAATTTGTTAAAGGTTTCTCAGCCTGAAGATCATTTTTACAGCCCAATTGTCATATGACTTGAGATAAAGGATGTTACAACAAGCAGAGACATTATGAATAGCTTTCAACCTTGTTTTCATTTGTGGAACCCTAAACATTTCAAATGGTGCGACGGTCCAGCCAAGCATTTCCACTGATGGCAACTGCAGCAGGATCACACATGGAGAGAAGGGATTACTAAGGTAAGCAGGTCTCAAACCATTGTAAGGCCTTAGTGATTAAAACCAACTCCTTGAATTGAACCCTTTATTTTCAACATTGTAACTTTATACACAGGCTAACTGCCCTTTTATTGAGCAGGTCTACACCAGCAAGGGCTGCCCTTTGAAACATGCCATGAATGTAGCTTTCCATGAAGATTGGGGCCATTCTACGGTTTGAAAGAAAACTGTTTTTATTTACCAAAGAGAGAGTCTTGTGAAAATGGCCTGGGGCTTCATCCCAAGCCCAGCAAAACCAGTAACAGCTGGTCCATTGACTTACTTGTGTGCTGGGTCGGGCCTATACTGAGCATGCACCGTAGGAAAAGTCCTTAACACTATACAGGTGTCTACTTACAGAAAAACTTGGCTTGCAGGTGCCAATATATAAGTGCATACTTATAAGAAAACTGCTAACTCCTAAAGGAAGGCCAGCAGAGCTTGTGACCTCGGTAGGTCATGTTGATCTGGGTTGTTTCTTTTCCCTTTTTATTTCATTAAATCCAAGAAACGGTTAGTGTAACACTAAGGGTGTAACCACAATGTGTCAGGAGTTTCAGAACAGGGGACAGAGCTTTCTCAGGGGCCAGACCAAGACCAGGGCATGAACTCCCATAAAAACTAAGGACCATCACAGACCTCCCCACCTTCCACTCCAAGTTCAAGGCAAGTTTCTTCAACCTGACTGCTCTACTGTACACGCACAGTGACAAGCATAGTAAAAATGTCTAAAACAAAACACTACACTGCACATATTTCTCTTCCTTGCAAGAGGATGAAAACAAAAATGACAGATGTCAGCCATATATCAGAGGAGTAGCTGTGTTAGTCTGTTCCAGCAAAAACAACAAGGAGTCCAGTGGCACTTTAAAGACTAACCAATTTATTAGGATATTAGGGCATAAGCTTTCATGTCACTTAAAATCTGAGCACCTTCTGTAGTGCATTAAGGTGATAGTCATAGTATAAAACTTCTACAAAAAAATGAATATAAGTTAAGTATATAAATGTTAACTTGGTGTGCATGTAACCTACTCCCCTACACAGATCATTAATATATACTTGTTTTTCTATATGTAGCCTATTATATTACTGATTTCCGCAAAATATATTCCATAAAACCTACATAATATGTAAACCAAGTGCTGCTGTAAAAAGTGCTGCTGGAACCTAAAAGTTTGCACTGCCTGATTTTAGGTTATATTAGCATCAGTTTTGGCATTCAATAATTAATCATCATAATTTGTATCACCACTTCAGCAATGAAAAATTAAAAAGAAAATGTTACGAAATATGTGATCATTGCTGCAGCTGTAGCTAAAATAAATCTTATTCCTAGAGCTGAACTAAAGTTTTTAATGATGCTGGTGCACAAAGAGATGGGAGCAAACAAAAAGGGTCTTGTTAATTTCAGCTCCGTTAGAAATACATACGAGTGGAGAATCAATGTTTGTCAAACGAACAAAATCAGTAGGGAAGAATTTTTTATACTCATTACAGAGAACGAGGAGAGTAAAAACAACTGAACAGCCCTGTAAGTTATTAATTAGTGTCTTAAGAGCCAACAGAGCCCAAAACAAGAACATACAAGAACACGCCCAGAACAATGAATGCTATTTTCTAAATCCATGCGTATATATCTGCTTGATTCTGCGTTTTCTTTTACATTCAGTCCAAAGACTGGGGCGTTAGTCCCTTCCGCCTCCATCTATTGTGCCTGCTCAAAATGCTGTATAATCAACATGCTTTTTTTCTTTTTCAAATTAGTTGGCAAACTGCCAAATCATGAAAGTCTTGGTAACACTGCCTATCGAAAATTCCTGAATGAAATGAATAGAAATCATTTTCCCAGGGAGATCTAATTGGAGCTGGTTATTTTTAGCAACTGAAGGAAAGCGGGATTTGAAAGTAACTTAATCTTGATTTGTTATCAAGGATCAAACTATAGGAAACCCACGAAAAGGCCTTGAAGCTGGAAAGAAAACAATTGCAGGCCAGTCTTTGGGAGACGGATGGCCAAGACAGAAGATAAAGGCGGACACTAATGCAAAAAGCTTTAACAAAGTTGATGACAAAAAAAGCACCCGACGATGAGGCACTCTGCCTAGTACTGGAAAGAGCTATGGAAAAAGCTGATGTAAAACAGAACTGAGTGGGTAAGCTGGGCATGCAAATGCTGTTGGGCTTCTATAGTACTAGCTTTGGCACCAGCTCTGCTCCTTGTGTTGGTACAGGGTGTGGAGTGCGTCCTAGCACTGCTGTATTGGTGACCTGAATCTGAACTGGAAGAGCCAACATGCATTAAGAAATGGACAAAATATAATCCTCAAATCACTGCCATACAGTCTGCGGCCAAACAAAACAATTAACTTATTTCTTCTCACTGCCAAAGAGAGGACACCAGACTTAAACTTTTCTGTTTTCCCCCTTAGGGCCTGGATATAATTTTGAGCCCGTTTCATCAGTACAAAAGGAATAACTATTAAGCCATGCATCTCCCTTTTTCAGACCTGTCTCCGGCCTCCAATTCCTCTAGATACACCGCCAAACTGCAGACACTGAAATCTTTTCAGAAAGCAATTCTTATTCTCTATTTCTCCTGGAAAACCTCTGAGCACCTGTGACTGGCCCACCTGGATCACCACCTACCGTGTTAACCATTTGTTCCTTCAGTGGTTCCTTCTTTCTGAAAAGTGCACAACAGTTCTTTCTTTCTTCCTCCTATAGTCACCTCAGTTTTTCATCTGTCCCCATTTGTCTCTTCTAACTAAAGATGTTAAATTTAGATTAATGAACTAATCGAATAGTCATTGTAATTTGCATAGATTATTCAATTAGTCAATAAGGGCACCTCTGCTTTTGAAATGTAGCACGACCCCTGCCAGCTCTTGGTACATTTCAAAGGCAGAAGCGCAGCGGGGAGCCTGGCCAGCGGGGGGCTGTTTGAGTCCCCAGCTCACCCCAGGTTCCCGGCAGAATTTCTGCTTTTGAAATGTAGCAAGAGCCCAACTCTTCCTACATTTCAAAGGTGGAAGCGCTGCCAGTTCCCTGCTGTGCCCCAGCCCCTTCTCCTGAAAGAGATGGTGCTAGGGGGAACCTGGTTTTAAGCCGCCTCTCCCCAGCACTGGATCCTGCTACCACCCTTGCTGCCTCTCTCTGATAGAGGCAGCAAGGGGAGGAAGCAACTAGTCGATTCACTAGTCGATTATCTGATAGCATTTTTCAGATAATTGACTAGTCGACTAGTTACTTACATCCCTACTTGTAGCACCTCTAGGCTGATGATTCTCAAATCTGTTTTCCATTGCAACATATCTTCCTGTCTCATTGGTATCATTTTTGGAGGTTCTGCTGTTTCATCAAACTATACATAGTTATGGTTCAGCTCCCCATCTTTCCTCCCAACCCTTCTCTCTTTCTTCTCCACTGCCATTATCATCCGTGTCAGATTTGCAACCATGGGGTCATGTTTAGTGACGCTCGCATCCATGTGTGTCTAGGCCAGGGGTGGGCAATAGTTTTTTTTTAAGGGGGGGCCTGCTTCACAAATTTCAGAAGCGGTCGTGGGATACCTAGAAGGGGCAGGACTGGGGCAGAAGGGGCAGGGTTGAGAGTTACCCTGCCTGGAGCTTTGCTTAGCCTAGGGTCCCTGCCCCTGAGTTCTGGCCAATGGAAGGGACCTGCAGCAGACAGGAGGCTGCTAGCCTCCTGCCAGAGTTGTCTGGGGTGGAGGCTTAGAATTCACATAACAGGGCTCTCAGCTCCTGGCCCCGCTGCTAACCCACTGCCTGGCAGCCGCCCGGCAGGCACAAGCCCATTGGATTGGTTGTGCCGGGGGCTGCAAGCCCTTTCGGTTGCTTCTATAAGGGTTTGCGCCTGCCAGGTGGCCGCCAAGCAACGCAACCAACCAGCAGGTGCAAGCCCTTTAAATAGAAGCAATGAAAAGGGCTCCTATGTCCCAGGCAATGTGCTAGTAGCCCTTTCAACTGTTTCTATTTAAAGGGCTAGCGCCTTCCCTGTGGTGGCCATTGCCTGGGGCTGGGGCCGGGGCCAGGAACTGCCGCGCAGGCCAGATAAAAGAACTAGGCGCGCTGGATCTGGCCTGCTGAGAGGCTCTTGCCCAACCCTGGTCTAGATCTTACAAAGTCCTGCTGCTGCTCCCTCCTCACTTTTATAAAAACTAACCCTTCCTCAATGTGCCTTCACCCTGAAATGGTTTTCCACACCCAAGTAGTCTCCTGGGCCAGCTGCCACTGAGTCTTCCCCTCTGCACTCTGCTTTCCATGTTGCTCCTCTCTAGCCTGAGGTGACAGTAAGCAGATGCACCCTCGGGCACAGCTCTGGCAAGAGCCAGCAGCGAGCTATTTAAAGAGCTGGCAGGGACCCAGACTGTGCCTATAAAAAAAAATGTTACTTTCACCGCTGCCAGTGTAGTCCATCAAAAATACTGTAGATAATATGAACTTCATTTGCCTCTCAACCAGATTATTCCTTTATACAGATCCTCTGCTGCCTCCTTCTCACCTACTGAATCTAGTGTCAGATTCTAATTCTTGCCTTCAAGGCTTTGCCTCTCTTTCTGCTGGTTTCTTTTCACACATCCCTTATTCCATCAGTGTGCAGCAGTATCAACCCTTAATTTCATTCTCACTCTCTCCCCTTCATGCTTTCTCCCATGCCAGCCCTTCCTCATTAACTCCATTCCTGAAAACCTTATTCCACTAGGCCTTCAAATGCTCATCCCTTCACAGTGCTTTTTTGGTGACGGTACTGCCCGGTACTCAGTACCAGCACCTCCAGTCAGAGATCAACAACATTTCCCTGGAGTACCGGCACTTTTCTTTTTTTTTTTTTTTAAACAAAAAAAGCACTGCCAGTCAGTATTATGCCATCCCAATGAACACCCTCCTGTGGTGCTCCCATTGCACTCAGAGCTGATTTGCATCTCTCTGAGATGGCGAATTCCCTGAGGAAGAAACCTGTATTGCAGAACCGCACTGAGCAGTGCTCGGATGGTAATTAATCATTCAACACCCAGAACAATGGTGATGTAGCTCCACTTGCTCTTGTCTTATTTATATTTTTCCCTGCTTCCCCCAGCATGAGAGAATGTTACGAGTGCTCTCATTGGAGATGTAAAGGGGTAATCGGTTACCCAGTAAGCACTGTCTTGCCAGCAGCCTTACCGGCATGCTTACAGGGGTAACCAGTTAACTGGCTCCCAGCCTGAATGGAGTGGCCTATGGGTGGTCCCACTGCGCCAAAGGCCGCTTAACTGGTTAAACATACGGTTTAACTGGTTAACATGTTAAAAAGGATTTTACATCCCTAGTGCTCGTACCCTTTCATCAGAGGCTGTGAAACCTTCCTAGGAATGACAGGTCCCGGTCTGGGCATGCTCAGTAACACCTTTCCTCTCTAGCACGCTGCCCATCTCCACCATTCTCACCTGAAGTTCTAGGTCTTTTTCTTTCTTGACATCTTGCAGTTGTTTTTGGAGGGATTTTATTGCCTTTCTTCCTTCCTGCTCCCTAGAGGAAAAAGCAAAAGGGAAAAAAAACTACATTCCCTTGAATTCAGCAACCAAGAAGGGTTGGATTTCCCCAGGGAGAAAGCTTCTTTCCTACTGATGCGCAGTGTTTCAGCCTACAAAATACAGCCCTGCTCCTCCTGCTTGCTCTGAGAACTTGTGGACAGGAAAGCTCCCCAGGATTCTGTAGTACCACAGCATTAGCCACCTTTCCTTGGCTGGTTGGCAAACTGGCAATTTCTGTCCACTTCAAGCTTCTGCTTGAGCTAACGTTCTCTCTGTGGGACTGTAACAAACTCCTGTTGGCTGCAGATCACCACAGAGGGAAAACTTTAACACACTCACTAGTGGCTTACAATAAAAGGTAACTCTCTGCTAAGAAAGGTAGATCTGCCACCCCTGTGCTAGCAGCTCTCCCCTGCATAAGGAAAGGCAAAGGGCATGTCTGTGGCATTCTGGTGGCCGGATGTGGGCAGGAGGAGATGTTTTCACTGTAGATAGGGCAGTAGCTCCAGAAGTGAACATTTATGGAGTGCGGAAGAAGCTGTGCTCTCTTGTACACTGGAAATGAGAACATGTACTCAGGAGCAGTGGTGACTGAAGCTGGTAAGATACTTAACACAAACCTAACCTGATGATGACAGTGTGGAAGTTAGACTTCCTCTCTTCCTCTCTCTGCACAGCTTGCAGCAGGCTTTGAAACGTTCCTGAAGTCTGCATCTCCTGCAAAGTTTCTGCAATCACTTCACACGCATACTGCCTGCCGACAAGAACAAGGAGGAACACAATAGCATCATAGACAAAGAGGGTATTTTCTGGCTATTCAATGCCTGGCTCAAACATACAAGCTGTTATTGTTCACTGCTTTAAAAAAAGTTACAGTACTGTCCTTCTCTTCTGTCAGGTTCTTACACCAAGGCTAGCCTACGCTACAACAGTTTGCTGGCTTAGCAATAAGGGCTAAGTGTGTGAAAAAAATCACTTATCCACCATAATTATGGCTCTGGTGTAGACACAGTTGTTTCCCATTGTAACTCCCACTTGTACATCTGGAGTATCTTGTAATATGGTGGAGGTGTTAAGTATCTGCTTTAGGAATGTGCAGTGTGGTTGAGTTCTCATTTTACACTGAAGTTACAGTAGCACTAAGACCTACTCAGGACAGAAACCCATTGTGCTGGGTGCTGTACAGACATTTACACAAACCTGGTCCCTGCCCTGAAAAGCTTGCCATTTATCAGCCTGTAGAATTTCTTGGTGCGTATGTGATTAGATTCTAGTGGCTATTTTGCATTTATTTGGGGTTTTTCACTGAATTTCCTTGAACTCCTTCATTTGACTTTGCTGCTTAATTATATAGCCATGTTTTTCTAATATATGGGCCTAATTTTAGCACTCTCATTGATGAGGAATCTATGTGCTCAGTGCTCTCAAATCAAGCTATCTAATTAGGAGCCTAAATATGGACTAACACGGTATATATTTTGTTCCCTTTTTTAAAAAAAAGTCTTGACCCTGATGTGTTTGCTGTTCTGTAAAGCAGGATGGATGCGCAGCAGTAACAGTGTTGCAATGGCATCACAAGGGATACTAAGTGAATGAGCGCAAAGACCACATCATCCTTCTAAACTAATCTGTTGATATATTTGCTAGAGCAGCGGTTTTCAAACTCTTTTTTCTCATGACCCGGTTGGTGCCTGTGACTTAACATCATATGAGTAGAAGGTGGGCTCCAGGGTGGGGTGTATGAGCGGCTTTCCTTGAGCAGATCCTGGTCAGCGGTGCAGCAGGCGGTGCTAAGGCAGCTTCTTGCCTCTCCTGGCACCGCTGACCATGCTGAGCCCCAGACGCAACCAGCAGCAGGTTCCCAGCCAATGTGAATGCAGAGCTAGTGCGCGGGGCCGGGCATGGATGGTTGGTATGCAAGGTGGGGGAAGGCTTTACCTTCCCAAATTGTGAGGCATGGCTCCATCTACACTCCACCCCCAGAACATCTGCTGTAGGAATTCTGGGAACGGAGTGTTGCTGCCCAGAGTGCCTGCCCTCCCAGTGCTCTGGGGCTAGGGCTGCAGGGTATGCCCTCCTCCCTCCCCCAGCTTGCCTCCTCCAGTCCTACCTTTACCAACTGCCCATGGGGCAGGGGCAGGGGCAGTGCATGGAGCCCTGTGCACTTTCTCTCCTGCCCTCCCCTCCCCTGGAGCCAGGCCTGCTACACAGTCTGCTGTGCCAGGACAGGCAAGTAGCTACTTCCACTGGTCACCTGATCCCCCTGCAGCAACGAGACCCAGTGCCTGGCGTTCCATGACCCAGTACTGGGTTGTGGCCTGTAGTTTGAAATCCACTGTGCTAGAGAAACCTTCATCCTGAACATTAAACCCGCACTACTGATTGGTGGCAGGGATCAGTTTGGAGTCTGTTAAGAAGACCAAAACTCATTAATACTGGGCCATACTTCACAAGCCTTTGAGAAATGAGTTGGTAGAGTCCTAATGGACAGGTATCCTAGTTCCCCTACCACAGTAAATGGCCTTCTTGCTGTCACTCTAAGCAGAAGCCAGGACTGAATGGGCCTTGAAGACTAAACTCCCTATTCCCTCCAGGTCTCAGTTAAAGCACATTAGCACGGAGGAAGATGGAAGCTTCTACTGCTACTATCTGTTCTGGAAAACATGAAGGACTTCATAGTCTTTAGGTCTGTTATCTGGCACCCCTCACTAAAGGTCACAGTCCTCTCTGATCACTTACCTATCAGACTGAACTTTTCTGAGGTTATCTGAGGACACAGCACTCTGCTTTTCAGCCCTACTGAAAAGATGATTGGCCCTTTTTAGATCTCCACTTGTCTCCTGCAGCTGCTGCCCCAGTTCTGTGAATTTCAGTGATTCGGAGGGAACTGTTGGCCTGTTCTCTGACCTCGCTGACATAAGTTGTTCATATTTAGCCCCCAGCTCCTTCTGGCTCTTGATGATTTCATTAATTTCTTGGGCATCAATCTACAGGGGAACAACAGAGACATATATGCTTGAAGGATAGAAGATAAATGAAAAACTGCAGTGTTATGTAACAGAAGAGGAAAGTTTATTAACCAATAAACTGGACGAGAATGATGTCCACAGTCACTGATACAGAGAGGGGAGTCTGAAATCCAAAGTAATGCAGCTGTGAAGGGTCAGGACCCTGGGATGCCAGCTGAGGTGCCTAAGATACTACTGAGCCTGCTGCCTTAGTCAGCCTGAGCCGCCTTTTACCAGGTCTTGGTGAGCCAGGCTCTCAAGCTTCCTCCAGCAAAGCCCACAAGCAGTGCCACAGCCAACTGCTGCTAGAGATGCTGAGATCACTTCTGGGAGGACTCAGCTAAAGGGATTTATTACATCACCCAGATGTTCACACTCCCTCCCCTTAAGGTACAAACCGAAAGTTATATGAAATTTGTCTTCTTCCTTAATGTGAAGGAAGGTACGCACCGCCCAACTCCACTCCAGTTACAAATTACACAAACTGGAATATATTGTAAACTAGAAATAAGTGTATTAACTATGAGAGGGGTATATTTTAAGTGGTCAAAGAGATAGCAAACAGAACAAAGCAGATTACTAAGAAAATAATACAAAGCGCACAATCTAAGCTTGATTCAGTAAAAACTGATTACAAATAATTTCTCACTCTTGATACTGTTTAAGTAGAGTCCTTCATTGGCCAGGTGTCCCTTGACCTGGGTCCAGCACCCTTTGAGTTACAGTCCTTTTGTTTCCAGGTGTTTTCAAGTATCCTTTTAGAGTAGGAAGGCAAAGGTAAAGCCAGCTGCAGATTATCATTGTTTTCCTTCCCTGCTTTATACATGTGGAAACCATTTCATATTTAGCTAGAAGCCATTCTGTATAACAAAAGCCATTTCAGTTTCTTGTGTCTGCACATATACTAGAGGGAGTGAACTGGCCTTCATCGAGGTGGGGTGTTAATGAACTGTTTTAAGCTGAAGCCCTTACTCCCTAAAACCTGTTTCTTTCTTTGCTGATAATAATTTCTCTTTGAACTTCGCTTTGATTTCTTGCCCTGATGTCAGACTTGTTTGGTTAAGGGTATAAAATACTAGGATTGATTGTGTTGAATAGCCTTACTGGACCCGGCTCTGCTGGGGTCACGCTTGGCTCACTTTGCTTTATTGATCAAGAAAGCTGTTTGTTAGCTGCCTAAACACATGGAAGTCTTTGCTTCAACATACAGAACTAGAAGATTTACCCAGCATTACTCGGATCCTTAACTCAAAGAAGCTTTGGTTTTTTTCATTCAAATCATTGTTCCGGGTGAGGCTGGGGATGAGGGATGCAGGCTGCCCCAAGGAGTTAGAACAACCTCAGCCTTCTCTCATCATAGCAGCTTGGGGCCAGGTGAGAAGTGCTTGTCTGTGGCAGCGGCAGCAGGCACAGCTGGGGGAGGGGTGCATGTCCCTTGGCTGGGGGACAGACAGACAGACACATGGCCAGACAAACTCTCTGAAATATATAGTATCTGGATGTCCCTTTCTCCACCCCTGCCCCTGCTGATCCAATATGATTATAGCTGTCCTGGTCCCAATATCTGGCCCCTTGCTGCCCCCTGTGGTCATTTTACAGTATAACTGTGCCTCCTACCAGGCTCCTCCCTTTATATGTTATGAGAAACAATCAAATTCCATGCACATCCCATTATCCTGGCACAACCAAACCTTGACCTTGTTTTAAGTTATGGTAAAAGAAAGCTGCATACCAAATTTGGTGGTCCTAGCTCTTACCATTTAGGAGGGTTTCTTGAACAGAGTCACAAATGGACAGACAGACAGATGCACATTTCTAAAATATATAGTAAGATTTCCATAAGGCAGGAAATCTTTGTTTGGTTCATCAGAACAAGGAATTGGTTAGTATCAGGTGAGCGGGTCACCTGACTTTGTCATCCATGAGCCAGTAGCAGTATGGAAGGCCAGGATAATTCAGTCCATTGTACTAACAGATGCGCTTTTGCATTGTAATCTCTGAACAGTAAGTAGTGGGAGTGACCGAAAGCAGCAAATATGAAATACATGCATGCATGCAAAGTGGAATAATCATACTCAGTAAATCGAACCTTTCCAATGATATCTTACCTGAGCCATTTCTATTATGCATATCTCTATTATGACCAGTGCTCAACAGTGTATCTACTCTCCCATAGAAAGTAGATTTCACTGGTTGCCCCATTCACCAGTGGCGCGCACATGCGCAATGCGGGGCTGGTGCATGCACAGCGCGGGGCTGGCGAGTAGATTTCACCACGGTTTGTCAAGCCTTGATTGACATTCATATCAAAGCATATTTTCACAAAGCATAAGGAAGGCCATGTCACAACAGCCTTTATTTATTTATAATGAATGTTTGATTTTGCCAAGACCTAATCCCTCCTTAAATTTAAAAACAGGAGCACAGGCCTATGCAGTCAATAGGACTATTCAAAGTGTGTAAAACAGCGTCTGCGAAGGCCTGTGCAGGACAAGTACCAAAGTGAAAAGTGAGGAAAGAGGAAGGGTCTTTTCTCATGTAACTGCTACCAGCATCACCTAGAGCAGCAGTTCTCAAATTCCATTGCACCATAAGCTCCTTTTGACAAGTACTATTTATGCAACCGCAAGAGGGGGACTGAAGACTGAGCCTGGCCGAGCCTTACCGCTCTGGTGGGGGAGGAATTGGGCAAGGGGCATGTAACTGTAGCTGTAGATCGTGGAGCTTAGGCTTGCATTGTAGATTTGCTAGGGTCCAAGGTCAACACCAGCCTTGGCAATCCCATTAAAATAGGATCACAATCCACACTTTGAAAACCACTGACCTAGAGCTTTTCCCCACCTGCCTTAGTTCTATAGCAATTACTGTGTATTGTGCTGCCTTCCCAAGGAAGTATAAGTGCTTAGTGAACATATCTATTCTGCTGTTTTGTGTCATGGAGGAAACAAGAATCAGGAGGAGAAGTGCAGCATATTGATAGCTCCTGTCATAATAAGCTATATGGAAACATTTTGGTTATTTTATGGCAATCAAAAGTGGCAGTTGGGGGAAAAAAGATAGGGATCTTCCACTGATGTAAATGATCATAGCACTATTGAATCAGGACAGTTATCAGCTGAGGATCTACCCCAGATGTGTATGTGAGTAGATATATAAATTGTAAAAACAAACCGTATACTGACAGATGCAAATATAAAACTAGTTCAAATGAACAATATTAAAATAGTTTGAATCTCAATTTCTTAAATGACTGTACTTAAGAAAAATAGGAGCTTGACAAAGAAGCTGCTTTAATGTAATGTAGTATCTACAGGCACTTAGATAGGTACCTTAAAATCCTAGGATAGTTCCTTAAAATCCTAGGATACTTCCAATACCAAAGGATGGAAAGTGTGTAAATTGCATGAGGTGCCCTTTGTTTAGCAAGAGAACAGTTTGTTTTTTACAGCATAGACTAGAAGGCAATTGCACTACATTTGGCCAATGGAAACGCTCCATTCCTCTGTGCAGGCGCATGAAATGAAGCAATGCACCCTAGTCACTGAGTGAGAAAGTTAATGAATTATAAGATGATGTGATTATTGCAATATTAAAATGTTATAGCTACGAGTGACTTCTATAGCTCTAACAGCATTTTAAGTGCTAGGCAGAAGATATGAATCCTTACAATGAAACTGACAATTTACAAATGAAAACTGGGGGAATGGGGAACAATAGCAAATGACAGAGCAAAGGAGTTAGCACATAGCTTGCTGCAGTATGCTAGCTGCTCTCTCTATTTGGCTCAATTTTCATTGACACTATTACAAATTGAACATGACAGGAGGAGAACACCCCCTAGAATCCTCTGTGTTTTCTCTGTGGGTATTCACTGTTAATTCATCACAAGCTTTCCAATCTGTATGTGGGAGCAGGTGCATCTAGTCCTTAGATCTCATTTCAGAGAAGGAGTGCCCTCTACTGTATGGCTTAAGCATCAGGCTGTGAATACAGCGCACACTTCACATTCTGGATATTCTCTGTCACTGTTTAAGAGATGACTTGTTCTTGAAAACAGACAAAATTAAATTTTACTTGACTCTTTCTCTCTCTGCTGATACTTTGGCATGGAGAGCAAAATAAAATAAAGCCACATTTGACCAGATAAGCTAGATCCCAGTAGTTCATGCCACCTCAGTCATGATGCTTCAGTTTCCAGTTCCTTACTCTGAAGGAAAAGTTTAATAACCGCTTAACCTGGAAATTGGCTGGTGCTTTAGATATAAGTTATGATTCTTGAGGTGAGGGCAGGGATCAAAACTATGTGCCTCTCAAGACTGTTAGGTCTACTCTTGTAGTCTATCACCTCCTTTGCCACTCCAACATCACCTTCAACTGCCTCCTTCTCCAAAAACAGCTCCATAGTTCCATTAGAATGAGCTGCCATCTCCTTCAAATTGCCCCTCAAGACCAGTGTTCCCTCCAAGTTTTGTGGCAACACAGCTTCACATTTGTTTAATCAGCCCCCCTCAGTCAGGGGCTCAGTGCAGCAGCTGATTGACTGGGAGGGTGGGCTGATTAATCACCTGTGAAGCTGTGTTGCCACACAGCTTAGAGGGAACACTGCTCAAAATCCACTTATGCTATGATGCCTAATATGAAATCAGCCAGCTGATTGAATAACTAGGCTAAGGGGCAGTTGGTTTGTTATAGTTTGAAAGTGAAATTTTCAAAATAGTTCAGCATTGACTCAACTCTTTTCCCCCTGAAGTCAACTGGAGTTTCATGAGTGACTTCTATGGGAGCAGAATTACCTCAGTGCTGAGTGCTTCTGAAAATCCTATTCTTGTTTTTTCAAAAGAGAATGCGAAGTATAAACAACCTCGCTGTGTTTGATCGTTTCCCTTTCCTTACTCCTTTTCATCTTCACTGTTATTTTAGATGGAAAGTTTTTTGGCACAGGAACCATGTCTTTGTTTATGTTTGTGCAGTGCCTAGCTGAATGGGAGCCCAGTCCTTATTAGGGCCTCTGGATGCTACTGCAATGTAAGTATTAACATCACTCTCCAACTGAACGACAAGGTGATGTATTTATAATGTTCCTTCTCTCCTGGGCCGTAGGGTGCGTAACAATGAAAATATATCAACGTTTCATTCTGAGAAGAGTCAAAAGAAGGTAAGAAGGAATAGCATAAAGACAGGAAAGCAAATAAGAGAATTTGAAAAATAGAGGCACCTACATTGCTGATGTCTGTCCTGCCCTCATAGGAGACTGGCATAATATATCCAAGAATAGCAAGCTGATCAAGACAGTCCTCCAGCACAGCACAGATTTGCACAGCTTCCAAAGGGGAGACTATTTCCATCTTTTTATTTGCCATGATCTTGCTAAGAGGAACAAGCACAGCACATGACATGAGAGATAGCGTGTAGTAATAATGGTTTAAGTAATACTAGATACTGAAATAGCCTTAAATCTGCAGTCTTTCCTCTCTTTTCTAACTGTAAGCATACCCTGTCCTGCCCTCATTACCCCAGAATTCAGGCTTCCCCCTAAAGGAACATAGTACATTTGAACACAGTGGGAGCCTGAGGACTGTACTTAACTCACATTAACAAAAGATTCACAGATATATATGGGCAGTCAAATTGGTGCAGTGCTCCAAATTGGGAAAAGGCCTGGCCTTCCAGCTCATATTGGAGCATCTAGTGCTGAGATCTGTAGGCTCCCAACCATTTTCAAAACGAAGGGGTTTGCTAGCTATGTTGAACTCCATAAGCTGCACTTTTATCAAATTAGGCTTTAAACTGTTCCTCATCGTTGCATCTAATATTTTTGGATTATCCCGTTGACGTCAATATGAGTTGTTCAGAGTTGAGCACTTTTTGAAAATCAGGCAAGAGCCCATGTATGGACTGAAGAAATTAAATTTCGCCTCCCATTTTTTAAAATCTGGAACAAATTTATTCCACTGCTTATTGGGCTCTTAGAAGACATTCAGAGGTGAATTAAAGCTAAATAACTGCACAGAACACAGAGAGCCAGGACTGGTGGCTATAAACAAACTTTATGGGACAGTGGGAAACTTAGCAACACCCATGATAAGTGGACATCTGACTAATTGAAATCACGTTGGACCTTGGATGTTGCCAGACTCGAGGGCTATGTCTACACTGGCCAGTCTTGCGCAAGAACATAAGCAAATGAGGCACGGCGATGAATATCGCCGCACCTCATTTGTATACTAAACGAGCCACCATTTTGCACAAGAAGGAGCAGTCTACACTGCACAAGAGCCGTTCTGCCTGAAAATAAGCGGCAGAACGGTTCTTGCGCAAAAACCCTTTGTGCAAAATGGTGGCTCATTAAGTATGCAAATGACGTGCGGTGATATTCATCCCAGCACCTCCTTTGCATATGTTCTTGCACAAGACTGGCCAGTGTAGACTTAGCTGAGAGGTTCAACCTGTAGTGGGTTTTTTAAAAGGCAAAATAATTGTGATGAGACTCATACAATTTAAACTATAAATTTATGTGGCTTATTTTTCAATAAAAAGAAGCAAATGCCAGTCCAGATCTTAAGAACACTTTTTATTTTTGCTTAGTAAGTTTCCAGAATTATTTTTTGGTATTTGAATAGCTGCTTCTGGTCCATGTTAACAACCTACCTCCCACAAACGAAACTGCCACCACTGCACATGTACACGGTGCACACACCAAAGAGACTGTGTTTGTATAGCAATCTAGCCCAATAGGACTCTGATTCAGATTATGGTTTCTGGGTATTAATGTAAAGTCTAATAACAGAAGTCTCCACTTGTCCTTATCTGTCTAGTGTTGGACTTAGGCCATGTTCAGAATTTCTTGAACAAACATTTGAGGCCTGCAAAACATTACAGTCCAAGTCTGCAAGCACGCTCTGGAAATGGATCAAACCATGCCCCTCAATGTGATTAGCAGGATTGAGGCATGGTTATGCTCCATGAACACCACAGAGGTTTAGATTCAGCAATGTACTGTATCCACACTGGAATCAGAGTGAGTTGTTTTCTTCAGCAACTTCTGGACTTTCAAAAACTAATTTAATGTTAGAATGTGAATTTAGTTTCAAATAGGCAGAAGATGAATATAACTTGTTAGCTCAGGTCTACCAGCTTTCCACCAAAAAAAAAAAAGCCCTTTTGCGCAAGGTCCCGCCCACCCTGAGAGCATCCTGACAGCCAACACAGGCTCCCCCAGGGATGGAGCTTGCTCCCACATTAGGAAGGCAGGATAAGGGCCCCTCTGAAGGTAGGGAGGAGAGGCTGTGGCATTCACCTGGAGAGCACACGGTGGTGGGGTCAAGTCCCACCCCTGCCTCCACCCATCCTTGGAGTGACCAGACGGTCAACACGGCATAAGGTAGGTAGGTGATGTGGGTTCTTGAGTGGGCTTGGGGATATGGCATTTACCTAGGCTGCACAGGGTGGTGGCTCAAGTCCCACCTGTAGCTGGACAGCCAACATCAGCTGCTCAGGCATAAGGATCTTGCACAAAAGGGGTTTTTTTTTTTTGCACAAAACGGAAGCAGCTATGCTGCTTTTTGCGCAAAAAGCATCGGCAGAAAATATGCTAATGTCAGAGTTGCTAATGCGTCCTTATTAGCATACTCTCTGCCGCAAAAACTTGTAGTGTAGACAAAGCCTAACTAGGAATACTATTTCACTTGTCATTTCTTCTTTCCAAATTCTGATTGTCATAATGCCTGAAAGATGCAAGTGAATGTCAGTTGCACATTTTTTACCCAGGTTAGTGCCAGCATAATCCCCATTAGTTCACGTGTCAGAATGGTCAAGTAATTCAACTGCCTTTTAGACTTCTGGATCCAAAACTAGGAACACAGAAGGCTGTCCCCATTCTGCTTGTGCTGTCACCTTTTTATCGGTCTGTATAGACTTTGCAAAGCTGGCCCCATTTTTCATAAATAAACTCAGAAATGTCATTGGTCATAAAGAGTGTTTTTTTCCTTCTCTCATTTTTTTCATGCAGTTCCAAATGCACAAACGTGGGACTAGCTGTTCAGCTTTGCTCCAGTAGGACTTAAAAGTAGCCACTTACTAAAAAGACAAAAGTATTCTCCTCCGTTAATCCACCTCCCAGAGAGGCTGTAGCACTGTAACATCACGGGTTAGGTTTAAGGGTTAACTACTTTATAGATTTTTCACATCCCTCAGCAATGTAACCTGAAACAATACAGTGACTTTGAGATCCATTAATGAGTGCCCAGGCATGCTGGATCTCAAAGTCAATGTATTGTTTCAGGTCAATTCCACAAGCCAACAACACAGGGAAGCCTTAGAACTTAACTTCATTTACAGGTTTGACTCCTATCAGAAAGGTATGACTAGAGACATTGGCTGGGTGGCCCACTACATTCCACATCCTAATAACATAAAAAACCAAACAATGGGTATTTAAGAACAATTTACACTTTCTCTATCAGTTTCATGTAGCATGGTCACTCTAATTGACTATTTCTTTCCCCTTTTTATTCCTCCGTTCTTTTTCCTTCTCTCTTCCACCCACCCTCCCCCCATCTCCTAATTATTTAGAAACTGGACCTTTAATAAGTCCAGTTTCATTCATCTGAAGAAGTGGGTTGTGCCAATGAAAGCTCATGATACCATCTACAAACATGTTTTGTTAGTTTTTAAGGCGCTGCTAGACTATTCATTGTTTTTTATGTTTTTTTCAGTTATAGAATAACTGGGCTACCCCTCTAAAAATGTCTGAGTACGCTCATCCTACTTTTACATTTTTTGTATGATATTTTATCTGTGACCTGTACAAGTAAATGTATTATCAAACACTACTCCTATGACTATAAACTTTTGAGCTATCTGAATTTTTTCACCATAAAGAAATAAGTTCCAAACTTCCCTAATTATTTTTGCTGATTAATGGCTTTGCCTTAGTTTTTGAAAATAAGAATTTAAATCCCCTATCATTTTCTCACTTAGAAATTCTCTGGAGTGCCTCATTTGTCCTTTCCCTTCTACTTTAAGCTTAGTATGCTTAGTCTATGTAGCACAGATGTCTGTACACTTTCTGGGAGGTCATTTATTGTAAGGGAATCATTTCCCTTTTATTCCAATTTTAGTTGTAGCCTCTGTCCATGTGACTCTCCCCGGACAGAGGCTGCTTCATAGCAGCCTCCCCTGCCCCCCCTTGCTGCTGCTGGTGAAGGCAAGTGGCACTGAGGAATTGGTGCTGGGGGAACCGGCTTTTAAGCTGGCTTCCTGCAGCACCAGCTCCTGCTTCCCCTTCCCCTCTGCTGCCTCTGATCCAGAGGCAGCAAGGGGGGGAGGGAATGTATGTGCTCAACAAGATTAACTGATAAACCTAGGCTTATCAGTTAATCCTATAGTCCACTACACATCAACATCCATAACTGATAACTACTCTTTGCTGACAGCCACTCAATCAGCTGTGCATCCACCTTAAAGAAATTTCTTCTAGACCACATTTCCACAGTATGCTTATGAGAATCATAGAATCATAGGACTGGAAGGGGCCTCAAGAGGTCATCGAGTCCAGCCCCCCGCCCTCAAGGCAGGACCAAGCTCCGTCTACACCATCCCTGACAGATGTCTATCTAACCTGTTCTTAAATATCTCCAGAGAGGGAGATTCCACCACCTCCCTTGGCAATTTATTCCAATATTTGACCACCCTGACAGTTAGGAATTTTTTCCTAATGTCCAATCTAAACCTGCCCTGCTGCACTTTAAGCCCATTACTCCTCGTCCTGTCCTCAGTAACCAAGAGGAACAAATTTTCTCCTTCCTCCTTGTGACACCCTTTTAGATATTTGAAAACCGCTATCATGTCCCCCCTTAATCTTCTTTTTTCCAAACTAAACAAGCCCAGTTCACGAAGCCTGGCTTCATAGGTCATGTTCTCTAAACCTTTAATCATTCTTGTCGCTCTTCTCTGTACCCTTTCCAATTTCTCCACATCTTTCTTGAAATGTGGCGCCCAGAACTGGACACAGTACTCCAGCTGAGGCCTAACTAGTGCAGAGTAGAGCGGCAGAATGACTTCACGAGTTTTGCTTACAACACACCTGTTGATACAACCTAGAATCATACTTGCTTTTTTTGCAACAGCATCACACTGTTGACTCATATTCAACTTGTGGTCCACTATGACCCCTAGATCCCTTTCCGCCATGCTCCTTCCTAGACAGTCGCTTCCCATCTTGTATGTATGGAACTGATTGTTCCTTCCTAAGTGGAGCATTTTGCATTTCTCTTTATTAAACCTCATCCTGTTTACCTCTGACCATTTTTCTAACTTGCTAAGGTCATTTTGAATTATGTCCCTATCCTCCAAAGAAGTCGCAAGCCCACCCAGTTTGGTATCATCTGCAAACTTAATAAGCGTACTCTCTATCCCAATATCTGCATCATTGATGAAGATATTGAACAGTACGGGTCCCAAAACAGACCTTTGCGGAACTCCACTTGTTATCCCTTTCCAGCAGGATTTAGCACCGTTAACAACAACTCTCTGACTACGGTTATCCAGCCAATTATGCACCCACCTTATCGTGGCCCTATCTAAGTTATATTTGCCTAGTTTATCAATAAGAATATCATGCGAGACCGTATCAAATGCCTTACTAAAGTCTAGGTATATGACATCCACCGCTTCTCCCTTATCCACAAGGCTCGTTATCCTATCAAAGAAAGCTATCAGATTAGTTTGGCATGACTTGTTCTTCACAAACCCATGCTGGCTATTCCCTATCACTTTATTACCTTCCAAGTGTTTGCATATGATTTCCTTAATTACCTGCTCCATTATCTTCCCATTATGTTATGTGGAACATGTCAACAGCTTTCCTAAAATCCAGATATGTCATGTCTACAGTTTACCTCATCCACTGGGCCAATAAGCCTATTAAAGAAAGAAATTAGGTTGGTTTGGTTTGGTTTGGTATGATTTGTTCTTGACAAATCCATGTAGGCTACTATTTATTATTCTGTTATTTTCTAGGTAATTACAACCTGATTGTTTAATACATTGCTCCAGTATTTTTCCAGGTATTGAAGTTAAGCAGACTTATATATAATTTCCCAGGTTCTCTTTGTGCTTCTTTTTAAAGATAGGCAATATGTTTGCGATTCTCCCATCTTCTGGACTGCATCCATCCTCCATGAGATCTCAAAGATAATCACTAATGGTTATAAGATTAATCTATGAGTCTTAAATGAACACTGTCAAAAGAAATCACATTGCAAAAGTGTCTTTTACATAATTACAGCCTAAAATGTTAAAACAATGGCAATATACCTCCTCTTGTCATAGAATCATAAGGCTCGAAGAGACCTCAGGATGTCATCGAGTCCAGCCCCCTGCCTAAAGCAGGACCAACCCTAACAAAATCATCCCAACCAGGACTTTGTCAAGGAGGGACTTAAAAACCTCGAGGGATGGAGATTCTACCACCTCCCTAGGTGGTAACCCATTCCAGTGCTTCACTACTCTCCTAGGGAAATAGTTTTTCTAATATCCAACCTAGACCTCCCCCACTGCAACTTGACACCATTGTTCCTCATCTGCCAGCTGTCACTACTGAGAACAGCCTCTCTCCATCCTCTTTGGAATCTCCCTTCAGGAAGTTGAAGGCTGCTATCAAATCCCCCCTCACTCTTCTCTTCTGCAGACTAAATAAGCCCAAATCCTTCAGCCTCTCCTCTTAGGTCATGTGCTCCAGCCCCCTAATAATTTGGTTGCCCTCCACTGGACCCTCTCCAATGCATCCACATGTATGTTTATTCTATTCACTTTGACAATGAAATTAGACTAGTAAATCAGGATAATAAAAAAATTATTTATTTCTTATGTTCAGAAACTAGTAATCCAAGGAAGAAATGGAAAATATAAGTCCCTCTGACTGAATTTGGCTGGTCATAAATGCCTTAGATAGTTTCCCTTTGGGTTAATGTGCACTAGTACAATGTTGTGTGGAGATATGTTTTAAATTAAAAATGTGTTTTATTCATGTTGACATTTTTAAACATAACTTAAATGTTGAGTCTAAACTACACAAGACTAGTCTCTTTGCATCTGGTTTATATAAAGTGTGCAGCCGCAAAGATGACAATATGATTCAAAAGATTCTCCGTGAAAAAGCCATGATGTTAATATGCCAGCACTTTTGAAAGAATAATAAAATTGTTGAAGGTTCTTGTAAGAAAAAGTGATTTTGTTCTATATGTGGTCAGGATTTAATAGCTTCACCTCCTCCCATCAGCAACTTCTATGGAGGGGAGAATAAATTCAAGATACTAATGACTTTTAGGAAACTTAAAGCTGGAACATAATGTCAAGTATCAGAGGGGTAGCCGTGTTAGTCTGAATCTGCAAAAGCGACGAGGAGTCCTGTGGCACCTTATAGACTAACTGAAGTGTAGGAGCATAAGCTTTCATGGGCAAAGACCACTTCGTCAGATGACATGCATCTGACAAAGTGGGTCTTTGCCCACGAAAGCTTATGCTCCTACACTTCAGTTAGTCTATAAGGTGCCACAGGACTCCTCGTCGCTGGAACATAATGTTTCTCTAAAGCCTAATGTTGTCTTTGCTTCTCCTATATGCTTCCTCTTATATCCATGTACTCAGCAGAAGTTGGTGCCAAACCAGTAAGTTCTGCTAGCCTTTATATTCTATTATAGATGTGTAGGAAACCACTGTCTGGTGCACTGAGAAATATTACAAATTAGAAGCTCTTCTAGTTGAATTCTGTTTTTAATGCAATACACACAGAAATTACCATCCTGATTCAGTCACTGGCATCAACACTAATTATTGTACTACTCATCCAAACTCCTTGATCAGTCTTAATAACAAGAAAGGACAAAGCATGTTGCTTACAGCATCCCCCCAAGATTCTGGTTTGATGAACAAGTTATCATATGCTTTACCTTCTGTCCTATGGGGAGGGGAAGTTTGGAAATAATTTTAAAAGCAACCATATAAATGGTGTGGCCCGGTAGCCTTTGGGTACTACAGCAGACACAGTGCCACGTGAAAGCCTTGTTATTTCTTTTCCTGTCCTACCACCTGGCAGACTGAAATAGCTGCAGAGGTGGGAAACACAGGAAACACCTTGCATAACTCTGCAATGCCTCCTTTGGCCAATTAAGAATTGATGATAGTGATGGAAACCAGTGAAGAAGTTCAACATAGAGGTGGCCACTTGTTCCTTAACTCATTGTTTTGCCAGAATATTGGCAGAGTCAGACTGGTGAGTTCACAGAGCAGCTGTTGAGCCTTAAATCAGAAACATCCTTGCTTTTGGAGCTTCAGGGGGTAGCTGAGTTACTGTTACAGGAAAAAAAACAGCAAGCCATTATTGGCCAATGGCTGTACAGACCCAGTGTTCCCTGTAAGCGGTGCACTTGTGCAGCTCAGGAGGGATTCAGATGCTGCCTAGCTGATTAGCTAGCAGAGTGCTCACATCTAGGTTTTTTCTTTCTACTGGTAGTGCACATTCACACATGCTTTGGAGCACAGAAAATTTATTTCACACATGGATGGAAAAAATCTGCACATGGATGAAATAAAATTAGAGGTAACATTGTACAAAATCATTAATAGCCCTACAAATGTTAGAAAGCAAGTTGCTGATTTAAAAAAAAAAACAAATACTGATAAATTAGAATAATTTGGCTTCTTGACTTTTTACGCGACTCACTGTAGATTCTGTTCTGAAGAAGAACATTTGTTTAGCCTCTAATTTCTAAAGGCTGAAGGGAATGAGAACCAAATGGAACTGAATGGGGGTGGGGAGGGAGCATGGAAGAACTCCTACGTGGAATTTAGCCTGCATAGTATAGGTGAAGACAGGGGCTTGGGGCATTACTGTCTGAGACACCAACCCCATTAGAAACTTGTGGGATTTTTCAGGTAAGACAGGTATCACATCCTTTGGCTATACAAAGAGGCACTTTGGATGCTTTCTGGTGCTATTATAAAAAGAATAATACCAAGATTTTTTTTCAGTACTAACTTTCCTGCTGCTTCCTCACTATAGAACCCTGTGAGAATAATCCAGAAGCAGCAGCTGGCCTGGAGTTCAATGACTGTAAAGCTCTTGCAGGGGTCATATTATGAGGGCACGCTAGTGCAAAGGCATGCATTTTCAGCAAAGTTGGATCTCACCACACTGGATCCTCTCCAAGATCCAATGGTGCTAGAGCCAAATCCACTGATGCTGACAAAATAAGGATTTGGCAAAGAGAGCAGCACTGCTTTTCATAGTCTCTCTGTGGGAACAGCCCAGTGAACATGACCGCCAAACCTGACCAAAAAGTCTACATCACATTTTCACCTTGCCTGAAACAGTTCCTCCGGTGCTTTTAAAAAAATGTCTAGATCTTGTTAGGTGCTAAAGGTGTTCAAATACTTTACTGCATCGGGCCCTGAGACTTTCCAGATTAAATCTGCAGCCTTCAGAAGTAAGGGGATTATCACAGAGGCAGTTAAATTTTTTAAAAGCATGTGAGCTACTTGGGAGTCTAAAACCTATTTTAAAGAGTGAATTAGTTACTTAGAAGCCCAAGTTTCAGCTAATGTCACTTTTGAAAATAGAGTTTAAGCTGCTAAGTCACTGAGGGCAAAAGTTGAATTAAGCTACGCAACTTGAGCTACAGCAATTGCATACATAATTCAGCTTTTGGCACTGTCTACGCAGCAGGAAATCTTCACTCTTCCTTTGACTTCTCTTAATTTTAAGCGTGATATGAAGGTTACAGGAATTGGAGTAAGAAATCCTCCAGCCTGACATTATTCCAAAGTAATGACTTGCAGTGTAGATGCCCTCTTTGTAATGCTGCTGTGTAGACATACCCTAAGGCACTTTTTAAAAATTTACCCTAATTCTCCAGTGGCCTTAGCTGCATGGACAGGCATCAGCAACAAGGCCCTGATTCTGCCAAGCAGTTAAGTGCATGCTTAGTGCACTCCTCTTCAGAAAATCACTTAAACATGTGTTTGTTCCAATGAAGCCCAAATCCTCAACCCAGGCCTAAATGAGGGATTAAAGGTAAATTTTAAAGTTACTTACTGTTACAGTGGCATGGAAGAAGCCACAGGGGCTGCCAGGTGCATAGAAAGATAGTCTTCTCCTAAGCACTCACCGCCCAAAAAATGGCCAAAATACAGCAGAAAGGTTGTGGGCACAACACCCAAGCAGAGTCCTCTTGGCGCACACAGAGCTTGTGTGATCACACTGGTTTGTACTAGGGATGTAACAGTGTAATTGATATAACCAGAAGCTTATAGGTTAATGCTAAAGACTATACACAATTCCCCCCACCCTGCCAGTAAATTGTTTAGCAGGCTGGCCAGCAACCCAGCTCCGTCCTGCTCCAGGACCTTCCCCTGCTGCGACTCTGCATTTAAAGTGTGTTAGCACAATTCCCCCCCCCCTGCCAGTAAATTGTTTAGCAGCATGCGAGCTCAGACGGCCTCACCCTAGACGGGGGTTGCTGCCACCCCGCACTGCTGCGTGTGTCAAGCAGGGGCAGCAGCAGTGACAGGCAGCCAGGGGAGATGACTTTTAAACTGGCTCCTCTCAGGGAACAGCTCCTGCCTGGCGCCCTGTGCTGCTGCATCTGTATCCGAGGCAGCAGCATGGTGTGGTGGTGGGGGGGGGGGGGAGTGGGGCCAGGGCGCACTGGCGGCCGGCCCCGCCCCCGGGGACTATCAAGAGGAGTAACCGGCTAGAAGTCAGGAGGCCACGCGACCCTTCGATGAACGGATCCTTCACGTCCCTACTTGGGGCTGTGGCCCCGCGGGCTTGGGCCACGGCCCCTTTCTCATGGCGGGTTGGGCTTTAACCCTCCCCGGGGGGGGGCAGTCCTGTGGCCCCCGCCCGGGTGTGTCCCTCCCCCAGCCCCTGTGCGGGAGACAGGCGGCCCCC